TGCCACCGCTGTACTCCCCATGTGTTCCCATGGAGCGGGGGTCACACGGACGGCAGAGTCAGAGGCTAAAACCCCTCCACGGTCTGTGCAACTCCGGAGGGAAAACCTCACCCAGCACCAGAAACGGTATCACCCCAGAACAGACAGCGCTCAAAAGCAGAGGCAGAAAATGAAACAGGACAGTGTTGAATTTGATTGCTCTAATAACGAGCTGTCAAAGGTGAGAGGAGTGTGACGGAAGCAGCCTGTGCACTGGATATGCATCGGGTGGAAACAGGAGAGAGGGAATCTGGGGCAAGCTGGCCTCCGCATGCAGTATGGCAACAGGACCAGCAGCAGGGAGAGGGACGTAGACCTCTGCTCCACGTTACGGGTTCAGCTGCTCCTGGGAGCGAAGCTAGGCATGCCGGGGATGGACTGTTCTGTTCTCGGTTGCCGAATTGTTTCTCTGCACCAATTCAGTAAGCAGAGTACAAACTACTGTTGAGAGATACACACGTAACAATGTCTGCTCTCCCCAATGGGTTGTCCCTATGATGGTTCTTACTGGGGTACATCTGGGGCATCTGCTGAGCCCATAACATCCTGCTGCCTCATGCAAGACAAATAGCCCTCTGTCGCAACAGACTGCCACCTGGAACTCCTCCTTGGCCCCGTGGTGTTGACAGAGTCAGTGACTGGAGAGTGACAGGGGTCCCAAAAGGGCAGAAGCAGTGGCAAAGGGACAGGCGTGAGCAGACAATGGAAACAGCCTTAAGTGGAGGGGGCTAGAAATCCAAGCTCTTGTTGGCTTTCTTATTCCAGGATCTCATGAAACTGCTGCCCTTGGGTCCTTTTTTAAAAAATTTAAAATATTTGTATTAGTGCATGTTTGCAACACATGATGACCGGGGAGTCAGTTCAGGCGCATAACATCTTCATTCTTTTTACTGTATTTCCTCTTTCTCTCCCTTCCCTCCTCCCTCTACCCTTGGGCTCTTGCAAGATATACATCTTTCAAATAAACTAACCCATCTCCTTTTTTTTTCTTAAGTTAGCTTGAAGTCAGTTTTAATTACTTAAAATCCAAAGAAACTGGCCTGAGATGGTTTTATAGTTCAAATTCCTCAGGTTACTGAGTTACTTCCCTGCACTCTTGTCCCATGTGTTTGCCGACTTGTTTGTGAAGGGTACACAGGTGTTCATCAGCCCTGATCATGTTTTATCTCCACAATCAGCACCCTAGCAGAAATCGAGCACCTGCTGGTATTTTCCATGAAGGCTCTTCCATCACTGCATCTCGCTCTGGGTATGGCTGTGTCCTTTAAGGACTCCGCCCTCTCTCCTAACCTTCAGCCTTTGTCTTTGGTGCTGCATCTACTCTATCTTCTCATAAACTCTCCTTCATAATTCCTGTGTGCACATCTCTCTGAGATAGATTAGCTATATTTAGCCATTATGTAGAGATGGATTTCCCAAAAGGCCACTGTTTCTCATTCTAGAGCAAAAGAAACCAGGGTCAACTTCATACAACAACTGGTGAAGATCTGGGAAGAAGACCCTCTCACCGAGGCTCGGCAACAGGAGCAGCACCTATGGGTGGGCTCACAGTAACGAGGATTTCCAATGCTGATGGGCTCAGGGCGGTTTTCCTCAGAAGGTGCCCTCAGGTTGCTGATGCTTACAGGAAAATGCGGTTTCTCAGGCTGGGCCGAGTTAAGACTTTCTAGTGCTGGGCCAGGGAAGAAGATTTTTAAATACTCTACCTCGGCGGTTTTGACATACGGGAAGGAAGCCTTTAGCTGTTACCCACGAAGAATGCTCACACACGTTCACAGTAAGCTCACTTTTTTTTTTCATGCAATGTATGTCTATTAGGAAAATGGATCCAAGTGTTTTTCCTTTTTGAAGACTGTAACTCCTGGAAAAATGAGCACAGGGCTGGGATTTACCTCAGTGGTGCCACCACCTGCCGTGCAAGCACAAGGTCCCAGGTGGATCCCTGGTACCATTAAAAAAAAGTGAGCATATCCCAAATTCTCCAAAATTGGATTATAGCCCCCCAGCTCAAATCTCTCCTTTCAGACCAATTAGGCTCCTTACCAGATGTGCCCCAAGCACAAGGGACTGGGGATGGAGTTTACTTTTTCTGAAGACTTGGAAGAAAAAGTGCTAAGGCAGAATCTTGTGACTGCAAAGCCCTTAGAGCAGAATGATGTGGAGGGCACGATCAAACACACACGCTGGGGCTCCGGCCCGCCGCCCTGACTGACCCAGAACCTCTGTGAGAGGACAGGTAGGCCCGGGCCGGCTCCGGATGTCTCTAAACCCTAGTCAGTGCTTACTCAAAAAGATAGTAAGCAGTCTTAGACCAGGGTACGGTACCAGCGGTGCCTCGTTCCTGCTGCCCTCTTTCTGGGCAGAACAGGAAAGTGGTAACAGCAGCAGCAGGCACCGTGCTTTCAGCTCTAACCGCGGCAGACACAGCAGTTACTCCACGTCACCACTGCAGACTTCCACTGATACCCCACTGTCCAGTGGGGTAAACACAAGTCCCAGACAGGACGTGGACATTTCCCAAAACAGCTAGCAAGTGGGTGAGACTGAAAATGTGAGAGGGTGCAGAGGCAAAAGAAAAGTAGCATAGTGGAAATTCAGAATTCTTCCTTCAAGTTTTATTTAGGGCTGCAAGGGAAACAAGTCCAGACAAGGATGGCGCAGAAGTGCATCATGACGGCACACTGTGCGGCGGGCCACGGTGGACTGTCGGCTTGGAGGAAACCTCCAGGGCAGAGGCGGGGTCTTTGGCGCGGGAGCCCAGGGACCCCTCCCAGGTGTCTGTGCTGCTCTTTCCGGGCTCCTGTCAGTCTTCACTCCCAGCTTCCAACCAGCGCCCAGAGCTTCTGCTTCGGCCCCTTCTCGCTCTGACCCTCGTGGGCCCGAGCCCAGGCCTGGCTTCTCCCCTAAATCCTCTGGGGGCTGCCTCCAGGGCTTTCGCTTTCTCTCCAAGTTCTCGCTCCCAGGAGGGGGAGAGTGAGCAGTCTGATTCACCACATGATGCAGCGTAGGCCATCTAGTAAAGCCACAGCTTCCTGAAGGCCACACCCCAGCAGGCGGGCAGGACGGGCGTGGGAACTGCCTCTCCCAACAGGAGTCTTTAGCCCCAGCCTTGGTGCCTTCAGAGGAAATCTCTCCTCTACCCTCCCTGTGGTTAGGGTGAGACTATTTGCTGATCCAGACTTCTTCCCTAGCACTGCAGATGCTCTGGATGGTGCTCTGAGGTAGGGTTGTTTACTCTGCATGTTTCTGTGTTCCAGGCATCTGCGAAAGAATAAGCCCTCCACAGACACGAGCGAGTGAGTCAGTGATACTGCTTCGTCCAGCAACGGACTCCCGGATGTGTGGGTCAGACCCGGGGGATCGACTCATGTGCTGCTTGGGTCCCGGCCCCCGACAGTGTGGACACTGCCGTGGATGAACCCTCCAGACAAACCACTTGTTATTTGCTTAAGACCAAATACAAATATTTTTGGGTCATCTGCTGGTTTCAATTGGGGCCGGTCCTGGAGAATTTACTGTGTGGCCCAGACAGGAACCGATTTCCAGACTCCGTAGGGAGCAGGAGCCCAGGGGGCAAAGCTCTCAAACTGCCAGTTCTCAGCTGGGCGTGGTCCTGTCCTTAGAGGACATCTGCTAACGTGTGGACACAATTTCATAAGCAACGAAGATTTACCACCTTAACCATTTTTAAAGCATACAGTTGAGCAGTAAGTGCATTTACCTTGCTTTGCAATCCTTCTGGAAACTGTTTTATCGGCAAAACTGGAGCTGTACACTTAGGAAACAATGGCTCAGTTCTCCCTGCCTTCAGTCCCTGGTAACCACCCCTTGAGCCTGTGTCTCCACGCATCCTCATGTAGGAGGAATCACACAGTATTCGTGCTTTGAGTCTGCCTGGGCTCACACTTAGCAATGGCTCCTCCACCTTGCCCCTCACAGCTCCCTCCTTAGCAGGATGGCGCGCATTCCACTGTCGGACACACCACATCTCCTGCACCGTGACATCTGGGTCGCTCTTGCTTTTGGCTGCTGTAAGTAATGCTCTTATGAACACGAGTGAAGGAGAGCCTGACTGAGAACCCGCCTTCAGGGTCCTTCGGGAGTGTAACCAGAAGTGGAACTGAGGGATCTTACGGTAATTCTATTTTTAATTCTTTTGAGGAACCTCCAAACTGTTTTCCATGGCACTGCACTGTTTTGTATCCCACCAATAGCCTGCAAGTGCTCTGTTTTCTCTACAGCCTCCCCAACATTTTGCTTTGTTTTCTTTCTTTTTTAAAAAGCAGTAATGGACTCGATGTGGGGAGCGGTTTTATGTTACACCTGGGGGAGGTGCTGCTGGCTAGGTGCTGGAGCCCTTCAGCCCTATGGTCACAGCACAGTCCTCTGTGTCACAGCAAACGAAGGGCCCCAAACACAGAGGAGCCACAGCTGAGAGAGACTCAGATTTAAACACCCAGGCTCACCCTTCACCAATGAGCCTCTTCCTCCAGTATGTGTGGACCTGCTTGCCTTTGTTGGGAAGGTCAAAGGCCAAGATCACGCCTGAAGCCGCAAGTGAGGGAGACTTGAGGAGAATGCCAACATTTCTGTGATTCAAATTTTATTGGAAGTTTACAAATGTACTACAGACATCGGTAAAACATCATATCCGTTTTACAGGGCACAGATCTCAAGCAAAGTGTTCAGAACAGTCTCTGGCAGAGCCCACACCACAGGCCCATGATGGACCTTTGTAACAGGACGCAGCCTCACACTCGATACACAGCAGATCCCAGCCCGCCCACCTTCTCAGGCCCTGGGAGGTTTGCTTATGCACGTGAAATTAAAGCAGGAAGGAGGTTAGGAGGGAATACTGTCAAAGTCCTGATTTTGCGGAGAAAATGGAGGACTCACAGGCCTTCCAACATTAAGCTGGGGGTCTATGATAGAATCAAGAATATGGAAACATGGAGATCCATTCAATAGGCACGGGAACAGACCTTATTGGTGAAGACTGAGACTTTCAGAGAAGCTTGACCAGCGCCCTGTTGGATGCCATTGGCCAAATGCCCACTGAGTGAAGGGATGTGTCAGAAAGCTCTCAGGATGGAACAAGATAGCCTTTTCTATCCCACTGATTCATCACCACAGAAACTGCAAAAATGTTTCTTATTAACATTGTGTGACTTTTCTCTCCTTCCTATTCCCTTGGGAAAAGCTAGTTTTGTTGGCAGAAAATAAGCTTATAAAATAGTACAGTTCCCACCCATGAGCCATGCTGCACGGAGTCTCGTGTTCACTGAGCTACACTTATGAGAAGATGGAAAAAGGATCGAATCTAATCCTTTCTTGAGCTTGACCTTGATGACAACTTCTGAATGGTCACAGAGATGTGCTCTGGTGCCTGCCGAGGTCCAGAGGGACATGGCCAGCCCTGGAGACAAGGCCAAGGTCCCTTCATTTCCACTGCTCTTACACTTATAGAAAGGGACCTCAGAAGTCTGGAGGGCCAGGTAGTTGCTGACAGCAATTTCTGCTGCATCAAATATCCAGATAACTGGTTCATTTTTCCACTTTCCTGGGCCACGGTTGGATCCTCCTCCAGCAGAAGCATCTGGTTTCTGTTAGAAATACACAAGGAGCACTTTCTCCTTTGGTAATTTAAATAATTGTTCCCTCTCTCATTAGAAAGTGGGATTAGAGGAAGAAAAGGGGAGAGTCTCACTTGAGCACTACAGAATGGACAAAGGCTACCTATGCTCACTGGCAAAGAACTGAGCGTGGAGGAGTGTGAAGAAACCAGCCTTTGTACAGCCGACAGGTCAGCTTCCCTCAGCCTCCACCACCCCAGGGAGAGAGAACACAGAGTCTCCTGGTTATTCAGGATTGATGCTTCCTAATTATGGGCTGTTCTGGTTTTATTCCATGGCAAGAGAGCCAGGGTGGGAAGACAGATAAGAATCAGTCCATAAATAAGATTTGTTATCAGACGAGTAAGATCAGTTCTAATCAATTGGTCCTGGCTGGCTGGAGTGGCCAAAGTCCTGGGGCCGCATCCACGTTCTTACAGCAGGTACACAGCAGCACCTCCCCATACCCGCTTAGGTGGCAGGGTGGCGGGGTGGCCGAGCAGGCCTGGTGCGCGCTGTCACCGGCCCTGCCCAGATGCGGCAATGGCCAGCAGAACCCAAGCAGCACAAACTCCTGCTAGAGAAGAAATAACCACCACTATGGCACAGGTCAGAAGTGCTGACCCCACATCTCCTATTGGAAACGCAAAACTGCCTGGGAAGAGACAGGAAGGACCACAGAAAGAAGGTGAACGTGGAAAGAAGGTGCTAAAAATCCAGCACCAGGAGTTCTCCATCGGACATGTGGAAAACCAGGACACATGGCCTGGTTCTCCTCACCTCGGTCACCGTCACACCCAGAAGAGACTCCAGAACCAAGGGACAGAGGGAGGTCCCCACCGCCATCAGGCTGCATAGTTCCAAGGGTGGCATGCCTTGGAGGCCACCGGGACCTGTGGGAGGATGCTGCCTGGGCCCGGACCGGAGCTCGCTCTGTGGCTACTGAATCCAGTAGCAGTAAGAAGTGGACAGAACTCTGGAGATGCAGGTCCAACCAAAGACAAGCCCAGTTGCGGGAGAGGTAGAAAGTAAATCAGCCAGGACACCAGAGCAGAAAACTAGAAAAGACCGCTCTTCTGAAAACCAAGCAAAGAGAATGAAGATGAAATGATAATGATGTGCAGGAGGGGCCCCCATGCCCCTCAGTGCAGCCTTGTGGCCAGTCAGAGCCAAGGTGGCCTACAATGCTTGTGCGAGTCACCACTGAAGCTGGGTGGACACCCTGTGCTCTCGGGCTGTCACTGGCAGCGCCCCACCACGTTGAGGATTGGCCTTCCTGCAGTGACCCTCTCTGTGGGGCACCTGAAGAGACAGAGGTCATCTTGCTAGGACAGCGTGCCCTATGGCCTGGACCTCACTGCCTGCCAAGCACTGGCTGGGAGTCCCTGGGAGCTCTCTGGACGGCTGGACCTGCAATGACCCTGTGCACCAGGTCCCCGGGGGAAGGCCACGGCAGTTTCTAGGCCACCTCTTCCTAGTGATGACTGTGGAATCCCCATTTGGGAAATGTAAGAGCTACTACTTTACGTGGGAGAATTTCTTTCATTGGATTTGGGGCCACACAGGATAAACATTTGCAACCCTTTGCTAGGTTAAGGGATCTACCTTTCCTGCTTTCTTTTTCCAACAATGCCTTTTTATTCTGATCAATAAAGGAACTCAAAGCTCCAAATTGGACTCACCCAATTTCTACCAGAAACTTGACACTTTAATAGCATTGTGTTGCACATAATTTCTTAATCAATTTGCCAAGCAGTTTACAAACCTACTATACAAACGTATTAAAGTTAATTCTCCAGAGGCTTGGATAATTAATGAAGCATTTAGATATGAAGATAGCATGCGGAAAACAGTCACAACCAACATTTGCATTGCTTTTTTAAAAAATCAGTGACAATGACAAATGTCATATTAATACCTGAAAAGCAAATTATTTTAATACATCTTGAATGGAGTTCCATACTGTGTTCTTTACAGCTTTCCTTTCCCCAGACCCATCTGGGATGGCGTCTGAAGCGCCGCTTTTCACATTCCCTCCATAAAAATACTAAAAAATGTTAACTACTACACTGGAAAGGGACCACGCTCACCTCACCGCGGCAGGTGGCCACCGAGATGCACTGTGGACCCTGTGGACAAAGCAGCTCACTAAGGGGTCCTCAAATGGAGTATTTCAACTGCTACAGTCCACCGAGGGGAGAGGAGGATGGACAAAGAGCAAGCGCTTCATTTTTAGCTGAAGCAAGGCAGGAAGTTTTGTTATACTATAAACAGCACAACCGTTCACTGTCTTCTGTAAGCATTTGCATTTGAGCCTATTTTCTTTCTGACCAAGTCTTCAAAGTTCAGAAAGAAATCTCTTACAACAAAGTCTGTTTCTCCGAGTCCTTCCCCTGAAATCTCAGCAGCTCCACCTTCCTGGGTGACGCAGCCATCTGGTCACTGAGCTTGTTAAACCAATTCTCTCTACCAGGCTCGGGGCTACTCAAGGCAGCTGTGGCCTCTCCTCTACTTCCTGTCTGGAAAGTCTGCTTCCTGACTCATCCCAGGACCCTCTTGCTGTCTGCGTTCCGAGCGGAACAGGCAACACACAGCCCCCCTCGAGCCACCAGGCCCATCTGCCCCTCCGTTCCAGACGCTCAAATCCATTGCTCTGAGGACAACCGGTTGTCAGGCTAAGGCAGCAGCTCCGTCTGCCTCGGAAAAGGAAAGCAGGTAACACAATCCAGGAGACATGAGCACCAGAAAACAACGTCAAAACGTCATGCTGACAGCACGCAATGGCACCACTCACGGGCACTTAGTTTCCCCAAGGGACAGGTGGGTATTAAGCAACTTCACGTTCCCGGCAGGGGCGGCGTTTCTCATGACTCTACCGACCCGGCTGGCACCTCTAATCAGCGAAAGTTACATTTGCAGTTTAAAAAGTTACTATCACTTTGTGGACAATAAATTCCGTTGGGGTGGGACAGGGCTTAAGGATGGCTTAAGATGGAACAGACCATCAAATGCTTTGGGAAGGATAATTATTTTTCAGTCACAAAAAGCCAAATTGAATAAACTCCTTTGAAAAAAGTCTCACTGACATGTAACAAATTTGTAGAAAAAAAAAGAAAGGTGGACCTGGGCCACCTCTCAGTACTACTCGAAGACAATGCTGGATGTGCATGCAGGTGCCCACTGCGAGATAGAAATTCCTCGATATTACAAAATACAAAAATATTTCTCAGAACTCTCATTTACATCGCATTTACAATGGACAAGTAAATAATTTAGGTCCTGGCTAATAAAGAAAATTACTTACTGGAAAAGGGGTCCTAAAAGTAAGAGGACTGGGCGGACGGGCGAGCGGAACGGCGCGGCGACCCGCCCTCCAGCCCGCT